CTTTCTCTAGTGAACAGTCACCCAAACAAATGGCCATAGACCTCTGGGGAAAAACTGAAGGCATCCCCATGGTACATACTGGTTGCAGTTTTGCAGAGTCCTTCCTCCTAGAGGCTCGGCCACCTCTTCAGTCGACGGGTTCCGTGTCTGAAAACTGGCTCAGGTCTGGGAACTCAGCAAGGGACCGTGACTTGCTATTGCCCTGCCTCCTGCTCCTCGGCTCCCGTCTGCTTTCCTGGCCGGTGATGTGAAGCAGAGCCTACTGGCTGCCTGTCCGTCTTGCCCCTAGGAGCACCATGCTCTGTTCACCATCTCTACAGCTTGCCGTAGGGCAAGCCCCCTTGTCTGCCCTCTGCCTTGCCCGTCACTACTGGCCTTACATAATACATCATTCTAGGTGCCCGTTTTCCTCAGCTGTCGTAAATTTCTTCTCTACCATCTGCCAGGGGAACTTGGGTATTTCCGTTTCGTTGAGTGCCGGCCTCTGCTTTTTCCAGACCTCTCAAAGAGTCTGCTGCATCCCCTGGCATCCTAGCTACGGTATTAAATCTTGTGTCTCAACAAAGTGTCCTCACGTCAATGGAATCTTGCTTATCCGGTCTTATGCTCCAGCTCCCTTCATCAAGCACTCTCAAAATCCAATCCCAGGAGCGTCCCCCTCCTCCTGCCAGTATCCACAATAGTTCCTATTCTTTCACAAGATAGTCTCTTTCCCCTTATCAGGTCCAGCAGGTCCCCAGCCAGATTATTCTGGAATTCAACCCTAATCATTGTCCTTGGCAGACAGGAGAGGAAGCAGGGGCAACTCCTGGGAGGGCACTGTTGTGGGGGCGAGGCCTCTGTGGCATCTTTCAGTGCAGCAGAGATGGCAGTTCTCATGGGTGGGTCACCCCTGCCAGCCCAGAGGGTCAGGGAAGATGCAGCACCCGTGACCTCAGGGGTGCTATGCAGATGCCTTCAGCTCAGGTCTCAGGGTTCCAGATCTCCCCAGCTGGGCCCGGTCCTCACACAACTACCCTGACTGAGGGCTCGGACTCACCTGGAGCTCTGCAACTCTATTTGTCTTCACCTGCCACTCAGCTGTACCTGCCCCCCACTCCAGGGGTGAGGGCCCCTATTCAGGCACACACACACCCGGGCTCCCTGCTGTCACACTCACCCACTGGCTGCTTGTTAGCGGCTCGCTGTCCTTCTCCCTCCCTCTGTGGGGCGTCAGGACAAGCAAGCAGTAACCAGCCGACCTTTAGAAGGCACTGTTCCCCCCTTATTTTTCAAATGCCTGAATTATCACCCCTGCCACAGAATTCTTCCCCTCTAGGAAATTTTCCCAAGTCCTCACCAGTGAAATACTTAGCATTTGAGCTACTACCTGCTCTAGGGACCACCTGGGGCACCCACCAGCCAGGACGGCCTCCTCCTCCCCTCCCCTCAGAGTGAGACAGCCTCAGGTCCTCTTCTTACACTGTTTCCTCAGACCATTTATGTCAGTTCTGGTACTTAAAGGAGGAGACAGGAAGACGGGATTCTATGTGCAAGAGATTTCTAGGGGTAACACCTGTGAGGGAAGGTGGGCAGAGAGTGGGGGGCAGCTGGGAGGGACATCAGACTCATGTAGGTTTGACCCCTATGGAGGAGAGAAGGGAGGACAGAAGGTGGAGCAGAAGAGTCTTAGGCTGCGGTTCAGATCTAAGAAAGCAACAAGGCCAGTGGGGGAGACCTCGTGCCAAGACTGCCTGTCAGAGCAGTCCGGGGACCTGAGAGCAAATGGTGACGGGTGTCAGAACACTGCAGCGGGGGCCAGTCTGAAACCTGAGAGGTGCATTTTCATGGCCACCACCAAAGGTCTAGGGGCTTGTCTCTCTTGGAGCTCCAGACTCAAAGGAACAAAGGTGTCAGCCTTGTCTACCTGAGGTCAACGTCCACTGAGCTTCTGCTCTGTCACTTACTCTTTGGCCTTGGGTGGTTCCTAACTTCTCTGAGCCTCAATTTCCTCACCTATAAAATGGGAACAAAAGCTGTGATGATATATGTAAAATTACCCAACACAAAATGGATTCCCCACAAATTGTTGGCTGAATCAGATTTATCCAACAAACATATAATAAACACCTAGTGCGGGCTGGGCACTGTTCTGCTCCTGAGGCATCTGCAGATGTGTAAGACACAGCACAGGCACAAAGAGCTCACAAGTGAAAGAAGGGACAGATCATCTCTGATGTGCAGAATAATGTCGTCCCTGCACTGCCCCCAAAGATGTCTGTGTCCGCATCCCCAGAGCTTGTGAAGATGCTACCTGATGTGGCAAAGAAGAATTAAGGTTGCAGATGGAATTAAGGCTATTAATCAGCTGACCTCGAGAGACTACCCCGGATGGGCCCAATGTCATCACAAGGGTCCTTATAAGCAGAAGAGGGAGGCAGAAGCGAGCGTCAGAGTGATGTGATAAGAGAGAGACTCAGTCAGCCATCGCTGACTTTGAAGACAGAAGGGGCCATGAGCGAAGGAATGTGGGCAGCCTCTGGAAGCTGGGAGAAACTCCACGAAGGAATACGGCCCTGCTGACACCTTCATTTTAGCCCAGTGATACCCATCTTGGACTTCTGACCTCCAGAACTGTAACGTAATAAATCTGCCGTTTTAAGCCACTAAGTCTGTAGTAATTTGTTACAGCAGCAACAGAAAACTAATACAGCATCATACAGATGAACTGCCGTGATACATGAAATTACAGAGGTGTGTGTAGGGCACCGGGGCCCTGGGCAGGGATGCTGCATGGGGGATGGCCCAGGGAGAGGCAGGAGGGAGGCAGAGGGTGGAGGTGTTACGGAGGGTATGGGCTCGAGGGTCTGGGCTGGGTTGGGAAGGAGCTGCTGCAAGGCCCTGAGGGGGACACTCACACACACGCAAACAGAGTCCTGACACACAGGCAACAGACAAGCGCTACGTGTTCACACACGTACACTTGCACGTGTACACACCCCAGTGACGTAGGCACTTATACATGCAGACGCTGTCGGACACGGGCCCACCCATTGCCTCTGTCAACATCCAAATTTCCTGGGGGCAGCTGAGTTTAGCAGGTGGGGCTGGGGGTCCCTGCCATGACCCCATCACTTGAGCCTCACCAAAGGGAGGTGACCAGAAGTTATGTCTCTGCCCAGGGCCTTGGTATGGGAGGTGCCATGGTCAGCCCTAATAAGGGGCACACGTTCCCCCAAACCTCTGACTGTAGGAGGGAACCTACTACGAATGGGCCCATCACCCCAAACTATGGCGTGTCCATCTTTTCAGGCATTTGTCCATCATTCTTGCTTGCTGTGTGCTGATGCCTGTTCTGGCTATGCTGGACCCCAAGTGAAATAAGCCATTATCCAGACACGCAAGGTTTGGTATCTAGTGTAATCAAAGCTGTGACGGGGCCTGTGGAAAGATGGGAGGAGATCCTAGTCCAGTTCTGAGGATCACAGAAGACTTCCCTGAGTGACTGACATTTATGCTGAATTCACGGATGCAAAGGTACACGGAGGAGGGCAGGGAAGGCAGTTAAACCAGGTTGTGATGCGGTTTAAAAAGATCTCCCTAGTGAAGAACACACGGGGGAGAGTGAGAAGGGAGGGCAGCTCGCGGCCGCCGTGCTTGTTCAAATTTGAGAAGGCAGCGCGGCTGGATAGATGTGGAAGCCTCGGAGACAGGCCTGAGCTGGCATCTGTAGGACCTGGGGCCTGACTGGTGGGTGGATGCCTGGGACACCTGAAAATGTCCCCAGCCTCAGAGGCAACTGCCGGGAGACAGGGAAGGATGGCCAGGTGGAGCGCGGAGCCCTGGCCCCGCCTCCCCAGGAGGCCACTTGCTGCTTGGGGGCAGCAGGGGGCACCCGTGGAGCGAGGGCATGGGCAGCCCTTCTGGGCTCTGGGAGGGGTTCTGTCCCACAGTGTCAGGCAGGAGACCTGCCCAAGTCACAGAGCCACCGTACCACTTGATGGACAGAGAGAAATGGAGTAGCCCCTCCCTGCTTTGCAGCTGAGGGGCCAGTAGTTTAGAAAGGTTAACTGACTGGCCCAAGGTCCCACGGTAGCATCTGACAGAGCCAGGTCTGCACCCAGGCTTGTGTGACTGCATCCCCGGCTCGTCCTCCCCGGCATCGTACTTCAACCGGGCCAGGGACCCATGACCTCTGCCTCCCCCTGGGCCTGGCCAGGCCACTTAGAGGCCACTCAAGGCCAGGACTCCACAGCCTCAGCCTCCTAGGGCTGGACCAGGACGAGAGTTCCATCTGTGCGTGGAATGAGCTGGGGTCCTCCACTGGGAGGACACACGGGCCCTCAGCTGACTCACAGCTCACACGCACGCCCTCCCCACATGGGCTGCCCACCCCACAGCTAGACCACTTGGGAAGCACGCAACCCGGGCTGGAAATGAGGGTTCCTGCCTCCCTCCAAGAGGGGCACAGACCTAGCCCGCTTGTCCCCCACTGTCACACAGCTCAGCAAAGCTGGGCCTTCCAGGAAATGCAGCCCTGGCCAGAAGAAACAGAGTTTGGGGCTTAGAACCAGGATGCTTGTGTGATCCTGTGAGACCTGGTCCTGTCTGAGCCTCTGTTTCCTCATCTGAAATGTAAGGTTGGGCTCCTTTGTCCTAAAGCTCCAGCAGCTGTGATGGATTTTTGCTCTGCTCTACAGCCCCTGGCCCCCCTCCAGCCAAAGGGTTGGACGGCAGAGGCCTGGTCCCTGCAGAGGGCCCCCAACTCCGGCCTCAGCACGTCCACCTCCTCACTCCCCACAGGTCCCCTGAGGTCCGGCGTGGCCCCAGCCAGAGGAATGTGAGCCATTCCCGGCATCTCCTCCCCTGTGGCCAGCCGGAGAGGGGCTGGGGCCTCTGGGCCACTCTGACAGGAAATTAGCTGGGCCTGGCCTTCCCCACTACCAGCTGCTCCGCTGACCCTGACCCTGTGTTTTCCGAAACCTGATACTGCAAATTTCACAGCCTTTTCTAGGTTCCTGAGGAGGCCTGGCTGAGCTCCGTGTCTAACGGGCCTCCAGCCTACACGCAGCCTGCCCTCCTGCCCTGGAGACTCCAGCTCCTGCTGTGACCCTAAGCCGGCCCTACCCTCTCCAGGCGAGTCGTCTCCCATCTGTGTGTGTGAGAGCTTCTCTGACTGTCCTGAGTAACAGGCCCTCTGCCCCCGTGAACCACAGCAGTGACACAGGTGGGGAACGTGGGGAGGGGGAGGGCTCTCTGGAAAGAGGAATGGTCCTCAGCCTCTTGCCAGGGACTTGCTTTTTAACTTTGCTCTTTTGTAGAAGGATTCTGAAAGAAAACCAATAAAATGCACCTAAGCCATCAAAAAAAAAAAAAAAAAAAAGAGCAGAATCCGTGCGCAAAGCAGCTGCAACATGGAAAAAGGGCCAGAGGCACGTAAGAGAGGATGTGGGAAGACCACTTAGGAGGCCGTTGTGGTCCAGGGAAGAAGGACAGTGGTTTGGATTCAGATGGGGCAGTGACGATGCAAAGTGCTGCACACAGTCCAAAGCGACTGAGGCAATAAGATGGGGCGAGATGTGCTCATCTGGCCACAGAGGCCCAGGGGGAGAGGTGTGTCAAAGGCCTCCAAGTTTCTGAGGGGCACAGCTGGCTGGTGCCTCTCACTGGGCGCTGGCCAGGGCTGCCGCCAGACGGGACAGGACGGTAAGTTTGGCCCCGGGCCCGTGGAGGCTGCCGTGCCTCTGGGATGGCCTCGTAGCCAGGAAGGGGCTGGAGGCGCACATCTGGGGGACAGAAAAGTAGGGACGGTCATCCAAGCCGAGGGCTAGAGCTCAGAGGAAGAGGGAAGAGAGGCAGCCTGTGGCTGCAGGGCACTGGGCGGAGGGCGGACCTGGCAGGAGGGGTGCCAGGGGTGCGGAGAGAAGCAGGGGAAGGCGGTGCCACACACGGAACGGAGAAGAGCGGTGGGAGAAGCCAGGAGTGCTCGGAGGGCTGGAGGGCTGGGGCGCTGCGGAGCCAGGGAGGGGCTGAGCGCTTGGCGTCCTGGAAGAAGCCAGCGACTTGACAGGGGCGTCTGAGTGGAGGGCGGAGGGCAGAAGCCAGACTCTGGTGGACGGGCAGGTACATGAGGGGGAGAAACGGAGACAGGCGAACGAGCAGCTCTCTGGAGGACGTGTACCGGGAATGGGAGGCAGCAGCTGGAGGGGACATGGGGTCAAAGGGGCTGCCTGTTCGCTTTTTAAGACGAGGGAGACCTGAGCGTGTTTCTATGTTGCTCAGGAGGATCCCGCTGAGACGCGAGGTTAGCAAACCTGAGAAAGCAGGGGTGACAAACAGAAGGATGGTTTGGGCCAGCAGGGGGCTCGCCTGGGCCGCTCTGCTTGTCTGCAGCTGGGCTGGGGGGGGCACGACCCACAGCCTCCAGCCCGGGGCGTCCTCACTGCCCGCCCAGCCACACTGCGCCCCAGGGCCGCCGGGAGCAGCCCCAAGAGCCATCCTGGCCGGTTCTGGCCTGACAAGAACACCTTCTCTGGGATGCTGAGATTAAGGAACACTGGAGTGGCTTCCAGCACTTCTGAGGGCAGTTCCCAAGGTACAGGGGGCATGCAGGGGTTCAGGGAAGGGAGGTCTCTGCCCCGTGCACTGGGCTGGCCGGGGCACTGCCCCTGATTGGTCCATGTGTCCGCCCCCCAGCCTTCGCTGGCCAAATGCACGCACCTTATGGACTCCATTTAACCCTAGCTGTGGAAGGCAGGGATTGGAGGCAGCCAGACAGACAGTGCTGGGCGGTGGCAAGGGTGCTACATCTCCAGGGGAAGAGCCATGGGCCCCCAGGCCTACCGTGGACAAAGGCCCGTTGCCAGTGACAGGATGCCTGGACACCTGCTGGATGCTATCCCTATCCCTCCACCTGGCCTGGCAATGCCACCTTGGCTGTTGTTTTGTAGGACAATCCCAGGCACCCCAGAGGGCAGTGGTTCTCAGAGCATGGTCCCTGGCTCCTGATCCAGGAGTTTCCAGCATCCCCTGGAAACTGGTTAGAAATGCAAACTCTCAGGCCCTACCACGGATCTACTGAATCAAAACCTCTGGGGGCTGGATCCAGCAGCCTGTGTTTCACAAGCCTGCCAGATGATTCTGAAGCACCGCCGCCACAAGGGATCAAGCCATCTCTCTCTCCATTCACTGTCCATTAACCTAAAATTCATACCCATCAATCTAGAGTCATCATCTACTTGTCATTTCTCTACCCAATTTAATCGTCCGGCCAGCTACCTACCATCCCTTTTAACATTAGGTCCAGCCGCCTCTGCCCATCTGTCTGGCCCAGTCTGACCTGATGGCTCAGTGGCCTAAATAAAGATTCCTTTATTAATATGACATACACACCTGGTTATCAAGTCGCTATTCTCACAGCCCATTTATACTAGAAAAGAGTATTTGCAGCTCTAGTACCTCCCCTTGCTGAGGAAAATGGACACAAACATTTCTTTCTGCATAAATCTTGAGGGTTATATCATATGTATTAAGTGAAACCAGTTCTACTTCCTTAACCCTGATTAGACCACAGGGTGGTTCTTGGGATTCCTCAACTAAGGCAACTGTGTTTCTATGTGCACTATATATATACGTATATTCATGTTTGTGGGATATATGTGTGTGTATACACACACAAATACACAACTTGAGTAGCCTGGCAAAAATCTCTGCCCAAAGAGGTTGTCTGTGTTCGAGGTGACAGACTTAGCCAATCACATGGTGCCTTCCCCGGAGAGGGCGAATGTTAGGTATTACTGAAAAGTCAGGTCCCTTCATGCTGCAGACTCCATCCTGAGCGACAATAAGCTTTTGTTCCATTAAGTTTCCTGTTAACTGAAGTTTTCCATCAAGCCTGCTGCTCGCCTCTGCTTTGGAAGAGTGGGACCCAGAGCAACGGTACAGCTCAGGAGCTGCGGGGACCTTGGGCACCCGCCACGTCCCCGTGTCATTACCCGAGACAAGGGTGGCGGGGGCCACACTGCAGTTCCTCCTCGTCCAGGCTGATCTGCACGACCACCTCCCCGGAAGCAGAGCCTGCAAACACCGGGCGGGACTGAGAACCAGGAACTGCTGTGTCCACCAAACCTTCACTCCAGCCTCGTCCTTCCTGAGCCATCAGCAGCTCTAGGTGACGTTCACTCCCTCCAGCTTCAGACATTTTCTTCGCCCCCTCGTCTGCTGCTCTCCCTCCAGCCCCACTGGACGCTCCATCCAGGTCTCTGTGGAGGTTGGTCTTCCCCTAAACCTCGAACACTGGCGTGGCCAAGAGGTCATGCCTCAAACCCTTTGCCTGTCTGCACTCTCCTTAGATGAGCTCATCGTCCCCTGGCTTTAAATGCCATCTACATGGCACAAGCCCCTCATCGGGACCCCAATTTAGAGCTCCTTCCTGAACCCCAGACTCTTAGATCCAACTGCATCTTAATATCCCCCCTTGAGCATCACTCTGCAATGCAATCTGAACTGTGATGTAACGCCTCTCCCTGCACCACCTCCTGCCAAAAAGACAACTTACTTCTTCAGAAACGGGAGCTCCATCTTCGTAGTCGCCCTGGCCAAAACTTTTAGGGTCATCCTTGACAGAATTTTCCTCTCTCTCTCACACCCACAGCCCATCCATCAGCAAATCCTGGTAACTGTGCCTTCAAAGCACATCCTGAACTGGACCACCTGTCAGCGCCTTTGCCACTGCCGCCCTGGTCCACCTCCTGGATTTCTGCAGGAGCCTCCTAACTGCCTCCGTGCCTCCACCTCTAGCCCCTTCAGTCTGTTCTCAACACAGCAGCCAGACGGCCCTTTGAAAATATAAGAGCCTGTCGCTTCCGTGTTGAACATCCTCCAATGCCTTCCCCTCTTTCTTGGGGTAAAAGTTTAAGTCGTAACGATGGCTCGTAAAACCCTTGGTGATCAGTCCCTCTGCTAATCTGACCTCACCTCCTACCTCTGTTCCCCTTGTTCACTCTGCATCAGCCACATGGGCCTCACTGATGCTCCTCAAACATGCAGAGGGGTCCCGCCTCCGGGCCACCGCACTTGCCATTCCTTTTTCCTAGAACACTCTTCTCCCAGATATCGTCAGGGCTCACCCCTCGCTTTGTTCAGATCTCCGCTCAAATACTCCCTGATCAGAGACAGGGAGCCCACCTCCCCGCCCTGCGCTGCTGGCTGCACAGCATGTAACCACCTCGCATGTGACTGCTTAGCGTCTGTCTCTCCCTCTAGAAAGCGCACGCAGCAAGGGCAGTAGCTTATTGTTCACAGTCTATTTTTCGGCACATATAAGCAAGGCTGAGGTGCAAACAGGCACATAACCAGTCACTTGATAAAAACCTGTGGAAGGAAAGAGCAAAGAGTAGCTGAGAGGACGACTGCTGGGCCATGAGGAGGAAAACCAAGCCAGCTGGGAGAGGAGTGAGTGAGGGCACCAAAGAGCAGAAGCGACCAGACCGAGAGCTGCTCAAGACACGAGAAGCCACAGTCCCAACCTTCGTGAGGCCCGGGTGCCAGTGAGGTTTGCAAGGCACCCAGGTCACAATCATCCCCTGCCCCTTTCCTGATGACATGTGGCGGGGGGCGGGTTGTTCCTTGCGACCGAAACAGCCTTGACTTCCAACCAGCCACCCAGCCACCCATCCACCTCTACTACTAGCCTCCCAATCATCCAGACATCTCATAATTCATCTACAAATCAAACAGTCCATGGGCCCCTCCATCCCTACAAGCATCCGTCAGCCTAACGTCCACGAATCCACCCGTCAGTACATAACCAACGATCCCTTCATACATCAGCCTTTCAAAACACACATGGTAGAGCAGGGCCAGGTTATGAAAGGGACTTGGGCACCAGGCTGAGGCAATCCAACTTTACTGCTAAATAGGGGGGAGCTATGGAAGCAGAAAGCTATGGAGATTTTGAGCGGAAAAGTTATATAATCAGGTCTGTATTTTAGAAAAATAATGCTGGCAGCAGTGAACAAGATGGACCAGAGGGGGTAGTCTTAAGGCAGGAAGATCAGCTGGGGTAATGCTGCAATATTCTGGATGATGAAATAGGGCAAAGGCATAGCCGCTAGAGAAAGGAAGAGTCAAGCTGCAGATGGGGAACGGCCCTGCAAGCAGGCCTGCCCAGATGGGGGACCATCTAAGAGGCCTTGGTTGGGCACCCACCAGAGGGACCCAGGCACCGTGCTTGCCCCCACCCTCAAGTGGGGCTGTGCCTCCCGCACATTTGGCCCAAGACATCCAGGAGAGGTACTTCCCAGGATCCCAACCCAGAAGTGGTCCTTTCTGGGCCCATCTGCAGAACCCTCTGCCCTACAGCTCAAGCCGCTGACATTTGAGTACACAGTCACCCACCAGCTCTAGTCTCACACTTCAGCCCTGGTTGTGGAAAGCTGGGGCCTCTTCTCTGTTAATTTTCTCCAACTCCTCCGAGGCTGGGCCTCAGGCCCAATGAAGTCACAGTCTGGGAGGCAGCCCTGGCTCCCTGCCGGCCCACGGAGGCTATATTTGGAGCAAGACAACTCCCTGCAGACACAGACTCGGGGCCCACCCTGCAGCACTGCCCCAACCGATTTTACCGAGTTTACAGGAGTTTCCAAGCAGTGTGGGCGTCACTCATATCTTCACGTGTTTGTTCATTTACTCATTTGTTCACTCATTTATCCATTCCACAAATATTTATTGATCCCCTGGCACGATGCAGCAGGATGCATGGCGGCACGTACACGCATACATATGGGTACCTGCGTCTAAACAGGGAAGGCAGAACATACTCTCGGTGCCCTCCCTCAGGGTTCAACAGCTCTGGTGACTCAGAATCAGGTGCATGCGCGTCATTCACCTGTGTGCATGTGCGCAGGCACGTGCTCTCTGCTCTCGGAGAGGCGGCTATTACTCAGCCGCATGGCGTCTGCGCATACCTGTGTGGATGCGTCTGTGTGTGCGGGCGGAGCCGAGGCTCCTGCCCCCAGGGGGTGAGGGAAGTAGTGGTGACTGACTCAGCTGCATACGTTGACTGAGCGCCCGCAGGCCAGCTACGACTTTGTGGCCTTGCTCACTTGCCAAGCCAAACAGCCAGTGCTGGGTGCAAATATTCTATACAGAGGAAGAGAAGGTCCTGAGCAGGAGAGACTGAGCAGCCTGGACGCAACCCCATTTGCCCCAGGGTGCCCCACCTGCCCCTCCACCGCAGGTACAGGGCCCCCCATCTGGAGGCTCGGAGGCCATGCCCCCCACTGACTCTCCAGCACCCTCACCCACCAGTCCCAGGTTGGCGCACATCGCTTACCAGTGGCCAAGAGGGGCGGGGCTGCCAGCCCAATCCACTTTCCCACCACACAAAAACCCTTCTGTTTCCACCACGATTGCATCTTTCTCCAACACCAGAGCCCAGTCGTGGCTTAGCAAGCGCGATCGGGAAGCTTTTCTGACCTCTGGGGCTCCAGACCCACTGCATGGGCTGCTGCCCTGCACCCCCATCTCCTCATCTGTGTCCCTCGCCCTATCTATGCCCGCTGTCTCTCCTTATCTGTCCCAGGGTCTATCTTTGTCTCTTCTCCAGGCAGACTGTCTGCAGCGGAGGCTTCACAAAAGCAGAGGTGCTGACAGGGAGGGGGTGTGGGGAGGACACTCCGTGTCCTTTCTTGGGCCTTATTGGGAAAAGCGAAGTTGCTGCTCAGGGCGCAGGCTGGAATTTCGCCCTGGATGACCTTGCTCAGTTTGCTGGGGCCTCCCCGGGGACTGCCGGGGTCAGGCCAGGCAGGAAACAGGCCCCTGCCTGTTGGCTGCTCCGCCTCCCTCCTCACCCACTCTCACCCCTAACGGCAGCCTCCAGCCAAGCGCCCCGCACAGGGCCGAGGGCTGCCCCCTTTCCGAGGCGCCTTCAGTAACAGGGCCCCGGGCTGTGTGCCTCGGGGGTCGGGGGAGGGGCGAGGCATGATCAACATGCCTCCGGGCGCCAGCAGGGCTCTCCTTAGGCCCCCAAGAGGAAATCCCCAGGGGCTGAGCGGGAACGGGGACTCCCACCCTCGCCCCATGTGGCCCCCTGGCCGGCCTGAACCTGCCCACACACGCACGTGCTGGGAATGGCTGGGAGCGGCCCTGGAGTCCGGACACCTGGGTTTTGCCCCAGATCCCTCGTGACCTGTGTCCCCTTGGGCAACTGCCTAACTCTCAGAACCTCACCTTCCTCATCGGTAAAATAGGAAAGCAGCGCCAAGTTTCCGGGTTGTCGAGGATAAAATGAGCTGACGGCAGCGCTCGCTCCCGGTGGGGCCCGCGCGGGGCTTCCTCCACCCTGGGCGCCCCCACCCCCCGCCCCCGCCAGACGCCTGGCCCGAGCCCGCGGGAGCCGCGGAGCAGAGCGCCTGGTCCAGGCGGGACCCGGGTCCGCGGCACACGCCTGCCCCCTGGCGGCCCCGCGGGTCCCCGCGCCCCGCACGAGGGCTTCTCCCCACAAAGCGGGGACCTTTCCCTGCTTCCGGGCCGGGGCCGCTCAAGAACCTGGGCTGCTCGAGGACCTGGTCCGGTGGCTCTGGGTGTGGGATTGTCTTTGCGAGGCGGGTTAGAGCGCAGGATCCTGTTCTCTTTGCATCCCTGTCCATTTTCCACACTGTGTGGGTGTTACCTTGTGATAAGAAAAAATCTTACAAACATTACTGCTTTTTTAAAATCACATGGAGCCTGTCCAGCCAAGGGAATTCTGGGTTTTCTAGCGTCTCCATTGGCATGAAGTCTCCCAGGATTGGCTGGAAGAAAGGAAACTAGGACTTGCGTCATTGGAGTTGATGGTCCACCCTCCGAGTATGCTGGGATTAACTTTCTTTAAGAAGAAAGGGAAACGTGTCCCCAACCTCAGGATAGGGTGGGGTAAAAGCCACCGATGAGAGGAGAGCTGTAGGGTGGGTCAATCAAGCGCTGATGGTGCCAAGGGGGACTGTATTGGGGACATATTTGAGAGCAGGGATTTATTTCAGAAAGGGGCTATTAACAAGCCAACATTTACGAGGAGGCTGCCTGCCTTTCCCAAGCACTGGGCTTGCCTTTGGGAGAATTCATCAGAGCTGAAGCACCGGTGGGAGCTGTACCCCACTGGTGCTGAGGGGGAATCAGCAAGAACGCTGGGTGAGGCCCCAGAAGGTACTGTGGAGAACAGCTCTGGCCACCACAGAGAAAAGCTGAAGTGGCCACAAGGAAGACACAAGATCTCTGAGGGGAAAGCAGAGCCTGGGGTCCTCGGGGGTCTCCTGGGAGGCGGCCATCCCAGACTCTTGAGATCCACTTTGCAGCCTGCTGGGGCCCTCCAAGCAGCTGGTGTGACTGGGCAAGTGGGAGCCTGGCTGGGAGGAGCCGTCACTCTAGGCCCTCGCTTATTCACTCACAAGTGACACCTGCCCGTGGAAGTGTAGCCCCCATGACTGACCTACCTCAGTCACCTGTGGGATTTCCTCAGAGCTTACCAGTCTGCTGGCAAAATGCCCATTAGGGGACCTGCCCCAGCCAAGATGGAAACCCCTCACCACACATCAGCAGGGAGTATGTCTCTGCGAAGTGGAGAAACCTGAGCCGGTTATGTATTCCCTCACCGATGAGGGACAGATATGCCTCCACGTGTGACACCCTTAGAAGGACACATTCCCTCTGAGAACGCAGACTCTGAACCCAGCTCACCCAAGGTAACTCCGCAAGGTAGAACCATGAGTAGGACCCAGGTCTGCGTCACTCTGGAATCCAGGTTCTTTCCAACTCAGTACTTTTGAAAGCCAAGCACTGACCAGTTAGAATCTCAGGCTGTGAGGGCAGCCACTGTAGAAAGAAGCCATTCACACTGTCCCTTTATCTTACAGCTAATTGTGCTGTGAGGAGAACAGGGCCTTGGGACTTGGGGATGAAATCTACGTTTTTTGGATTCCCTGCATGTCCCTTGTGAACAATATTTCAGGCGCGAATGGCCTCCACATGGGAACAGAAAGCCCCATAGGCGGCGTGGGGCAGTGCATGGGGGGATGGGGCCTGGGCTCCGGAGGGGCTGCGGGACAGGTGACCATGGAGGTGACGGCAGTCTCGGCACCCCTGAAACCAGCCTGTGGGCTTACAGTGCATCTTCCCGGGGGAACCAGCCCAGGATGGTCCTGGTTGACCCATAGGAGGGGTAGAGACTTTGAGAGCAGAGGAGAGAAGACATGGAAGATAGGACCCCAGGGAGGCTGCTTTCAGAGACCCACCGTGTGAGAGAGCGGCCAAGACGTTGCAGGAGAAAAACCCAGAGCTCACCTCCTCTCACAAGCGCACCAAAATTACAACTATCTGCAGGATAACCATCGGTGAAAAAGACCGGAACCTACCAGAAAAGATCTTCTACAACTAAAGACATAAAAAAATGTTGCCAGAGCTGCTCCAAGTCTTTGCTCAAAACCCATCAACACCCACCTTTAGCAGGAGTGTCCCTGCTCACAGCCTACCAACGCCCCCCATACCCTTTAGCAGGAGTGAACATAAATCTTTAGAGGGTCCAGAGATGAGAAATGAAACTACTCACACAAAAAAGAAAAACCAGCAAAAGTGGATATTTAAGTTTATAATCTAAAAGCTCTCCTTATTTAATCCTACTTTTCCAGAATCTGGTTAAAAAAAAAACAAACCACGGTGTTAACTTATACCATACGTTCAATTTGCTCTATCTTCTGGGCTTCAACAAAGAAACACTGATGGCAAATTTAAAATGTGACTAGCTCCTAATTTACCGCTTCTGTAGAGCTTCTATGTTTTCAACCACTGTTCCGATTCTAGGCTTTTATTCTGTTAAGAATATATTTTAATGATATACTTAGTTGTGTTGTATCTGTCGAGGATTTTATTTTGGTGACATTTCAAAAGATTAGTTTTTAATCAGCCTTCTGGTAAAATCTACATTACTGAATAAGAAAAGCAGATTTTTAATGGCTTAAAAAAGAAGAAAAAAGAAAAACCCAGATAGAACCAGCCGGGGCCAAGATGGCGATGAATCTGACCTCCAACAGACCTCAAGTCTCATTATACATTGATTTTACTACATTAGCATATTAAATAACACACCTACCAGCAGCCAAGACCAGATATTAAGGAGCAGAAAAGGATAAAAGGGGGATGGGACCCACTCCCTCAGAAAAAGCCCTGCCCCTTCCCCCGCAGACTACCCGCAGACTACTGCATATGCCTCCACATAGCAGGCCTTGCTCCTCCTCCCTTTGTCTTTACTCTTTAAAATTAAGCCCCTCCCGCCAGGTGGGAGAAGTTGATCTTAGTTCCGGCTTCTCCGTTCTCTGGCCACCGGGTGAGCCTATGCTATGTCAATTTCAGCTCTGGTTTTATTATCGGCTGCTTGAACCCAAAACGAAAAAGAACTCTACCCCACCAAGGCAGAGAGCGTCAATTGGGCTAAAGGGCCCAAGTAGGGTCCATAGGACTTAATTCGGTAACAGAAGGAACCAAAACGAGACAGGTTGGAGAGACAGACTCGCGATATAATCAAACCCTATTACCCCCGGGTGGGCTACCCTCAGACTGGAGAATAATTATAGTGCAGAGGTCCTCCCACAGGAGCAAGAGTTCTGAGCCCCACGTCAGGCCCCCAGCCCAGGCGGGGGTTCAGCACCATGAAGACGACCCCCAGAGCATTTGGCATGGAAGGCCAGTGGGGCTTAACTGCAGGAGCCCCTCAGGACCGGGGGAAATAGACACTCCACTCTTAGAGGGCGCACACAAAATCCCACGCACACCTGGGCAAAAGCAATAATTTGATAGGCGCCTGGGCCAGACCTACCTGCCGGTCTTGGAGAGTCTCCCGGAGAGGCAGGGGGCACGGCTGCGGCTCGCCCTGGGGACAAAGTCACTGGCAGCAGCTTTTCTC